GCGAGGCGAGCGACGGTTAGTGGTGCGCGGAGAGGCCTCGAGTGAAGCACGGACGGGGCAGTGTTGCAGATTTTTTCAACTTTGGAAAACAGCACTTCCTTAATCACAGTCACCTTACTTGAGCAACCATTTTCAATCTATTCAATTGAACTTATGTCAATTTTTCACTTATTCTGTATGTAAATGGCAGCAACTTCGCTATTCTATATATTGTATAATAGAATTTTACACTACCATAGAAATGGAAGAAAGTCTATGTCATGCACCATTAGTTTTTGCCAACCATCCCGGAAGAAACAATAGACCAAGTCCATTTCACTGCAACAATTATATTTCATTTTTTGTCAAAAACTAACCCAAATTACTCACCTGAATATCTGTGAGGCGTAACATAAATTTATCATAACTCTTTGAGACCATGAATTCCACAATCTCATCATCAGAAAGTCCTTTGTCATATAAATTCTTCACACTAGTAATGGAGCTACGATCCTGATTCATGGAGACCATACTAAAATGACCCAAGTTCACCACCAATAAGTTTTGTTCTTTGCTAAGAAACAGGAATAGATTCAACATTATATATGACAAAAAATGAAAATGAAAATTTATATGCCAGGTATAATACAATCATATTTCATGGTAAATTTCAATTGAATAATTACATAATACGAAGGTCGTATTAAATTTCAGAAGATAGTAGAAGTTTGTGAACAAAACATGATGATAATTTACTTACTCTTTATCATAAAGTCCAGAGTGTGGTACAACAATGTAGGAAGACTTGAGATCTACATTAATATCCAGAATAGTATGTTTTTCAATTGCATATTGCATGCCAACTGCCGACATTTCTTTGAAGTCAGGAAGCTTAGATTCAGCAACAGCCTGCAGTCTACAGACAAAATATTTCCATTCACAAAAGAGAAGATTGCATTTACAAAAGGTTATCATCAAAATGAATTTAATGTACTTCCCATCAATTCTAATTAATTGGTTACAATTTATTATAATCCTCTGTGTATACTAGGCTAACAAAGTTCCCAGTTTTGAACAATTTATGTAATTTGCCATCACAACAAATCCCTCTAAACTTCCATCTGCTTTATAGGGAACCAATTGATTGTCAATGCCTGAGTTAGTTTATCACAATCATCTATTAAGAAGTCTCATTAGCTCTACATACTATCCCCACCTTCCCTAATGTCTAATCCATCCTGTTCTCACCTCCAGACCCTCCGATTCAACACCTTTCACTCTACTATCCTCAAGCTCTGCCCACTTCTTCTACATTTTCCACTATGCCCATTCCTGCCACTCAGCCTCTTCTTTTCACTTCTCCCTCTCCTCTCAGTCCTTCTGCTAACTAGAGCTTTGGTACTCCTGGTCAATTAGACCAACATGCCTATTTATTGCATTTGAACCACAAATCACTGCGAGAATCAGACCATGACTCATTGGAGATCAGTTGTGCACTTCATGCCTCTGCTGGCTTCTACATTACTGGCATATCTGGTCAAAGAGGCCAAACCAGATTTGGCACACTGGATGTCTCAACTGTGGTTTCTGTGCGTGTGTGCCACACATGAAAATCCTGCTTTAAAGCAAGGTACAGGAGCTACCTACCAGCTTGGCATATGTTCCAGATATTGACTTGAAAACACAATGAGGTGTTTCAATCATAAAGACAACCAAATAAAAAATTAACAAGTCAATGTTTGTTGTAAATACAATTTCAGTCCAAAATAAAACCAAAGTTACCTATTTAGTATAAGTCTTTAACTTTGGCAAAATACAGCTTTTAGGCCTTAATGTAAACAATGTATGTAACTAATACTATGTATAAATATAAAATTATCCTATCTTTATTACTACATATTATATTGAATATACATTCATAAAATATTTTCATTAAAAACAATGTTATGACAAGTGTATGTTTAATTTCCTATTAGTTCGAAAAAATAGTTAAAAGCCCTTCTCATAAAGCAGCATTAGTAGATGCATTAAGTACTTGTTTGCACATTGGGAGGATTCAGATAAACAAATAGTATAACGTTTTTATTGTACAAGATTATTTTATAACAGTACTTGAAAAAAAAATGTTGGTAAACTTAAAAAAAAAAGTCGCATTCATTTGTTGCATATGAGACCTTTATTATATTGATAATAATAATAATAATAAT